TCTAACTTGGCTTTAACTTTACGCCACACACTAACAGCATATGAATTACGCATCTGGATTGCTTTACCTGTACGTGGATCTCTCATAACTGATAATGAAGCCTTAGCTTGAGTTGCAACTAAAAGCAAAAAAAAAACATGACATGACATCTGTTTTAAGTGCAAGTTCATACAGTGGTGAATATGTAAACATGTCTTGTGAAAAACATGTCAGAGATGTATCTCTGAACAGCATTTTTTAAAACAAAATACCAGTAGCCACCAGTCAGCCATTTTGAATATGATCAAAGAAGCATTTTACAATGCACACACAGTCAGCTGGCATGCAAGTGATAATAAAATAAAGCAATTATTTTACCGATAAACACTTACTATCTTGAATCTAACGAGATAAGTTGAGAAACAAGTATTTTGATTTCTACAAATCAGGAATCAAAGAAAACTTAGAAAGAACTCCCGTGTGCTGAGAGTATTGAAGACATTTTAAAAATTAATTAAAAATTACTTGTACTTAAGATATTGATGGAATAGCTGAAAACTAATTATGTAAATCAGGTAACAAATTTGAGTGTAAAACTAATAAGGCCTGTGTAATGTAATATCTATATACCAAGTTTCATTGAAATGTGATTAGAACAAAAACACTATGAATTATTATTAGAGAATTAATATGAACAAATTTCAACCCAAAATTAATCGGGCCTGTCTATTGTTCTAGAGCCTTTATGTACCAAATTTTATTCAAATGTGATGATCAGTAATTGAGATATCAGTGTTAATTATTTTAATTACCTGATTAATAAGCATAAATATTTACCAAAAACTAATTGGATCCCTGCATAGTCCTAGGTTCATTGAAATGTGATGACGAATACTCTATAAAAGTTTCAATAAAATCCATTTAGTGGTTCTTAATATATCAGTTGAACATTTATGGAAAAAATTAACTAATTATGCAAATTAGGTAATTAATATCCAGAATTATTTACCCTAAAACTAATCAGGTCTCTGCATAGTCCTAGAAGATCTATGTAGCAAGTCTCATTGAAATATGATGATCAGTACCGTTAAAGTCCTATTATAAACCGCGGTTTATATTACAATGTATCAATTTAAAAATTGGGATCAAAAGCTCAAGTTCGGGGTGCGGTTTCTATTACGTACATACTGCAATCACTAAATGGGCGTGGTCATTTTTTGTCCACAACACATGCACAAAACAAACAATACATCGTACAATCTCTTGAATAGGCGTCGGGGAAGAGTGAAAGGCCTTATTTTGGTTCTAAAATAGGCGTTACGAAATGTTGAAAAATTACAGTCAATCAAAAAAAAAAATTCCACATGATACAAAAAGTACTCAGTATTTTTAATGTAACGAAAAGTATATTCTAACAGAAGTTTCAAATAAAAACACGAATGCACTGCTTAGTAGCAAATGATCACATAACGATAGCTCGATCCGGCCATGCTGCGGGTCACAAGTGAATAACTTACTTGTTTTCGAAGTGTTGATATTGGTGATTATTATTTAGCAGTGATTACAATAACGTTGAATTGTTATAAAATGCAAGTAAAATTCAACTTAGTTTCCCCGTAAGCGAATGATTTCAGTCACATGTAAACAGCCGATACGATATCT